CACACGATTACATTAATAAATGCAGAAAAAATCTTTTAACAAAATAATACCCATTCATATTTTTTAAAATATAAAAAATTTAGTAATGGATGACTCATTATAATAAGTATTATCTACCTAAAAACCAACAGCTAGTCTTTTCTGTAATGGAGAAATGCTAGAAGTCTTTTCAATAAGATCAGAGTAAAGAAATAGTGCCCTTTGTAACTACCTTTGTAATATTTGATATAGTTCTAGAAATGCTAGTCATAGCAAAAGACAAAAGGAAATTGAGGAATAAGTATAGGCAAACAGGAAACAAAATTATTCACTTTTTGCAAATAACATCACGGTTTACTTAGCCCTGTAGATTCAACTACAAAATCAATTCAAATAAAACCAGTAAAGTAGCAAGATATAAAATAAACTCACAAAAGTATTAGCCTTTCTCCATATTACCAACAAAACCCAGAAGAAAGAAATATAAAAGGAAATTCCATTCAAAGTTTCTATAGACTATATAAATTATCTGGGTATGAGTCTAGCTATCAAGACAGGAATTATATGAATACAACTTTAAAATATTCATTACCAAAAATAACAATAGACCAAGATAAAGGAAGGTATAGTAACCACTCATGTTTGTGCTATAACAATTTAACAATATTACTTAACACAATTCATGGAAGATCAAAAGGTCAAGAATCACAAGAAAAATATTCATTTTTAAAAGTGTGAAAGAAAGGGACCTGGCAGTACCAGATCTTCAACCATACTAGAAAGTAATAATTATCCAAAACTATTTGGTACTGATTAAAAAATAGAAAAGTGGATCAGTGGGGCAAATATAGGCATATAAGAACCAGAAACAGTCAATACTAGTACATTGTTCAGCAAACCCAAGTATATCAACTCCTGGGGTAAGGATTCACTGTTGGGCTGGAAAGATGGAAATAAGTCTGATAAAAATAAAATTTAGTCCAACACTCACGACATACACCACAATAAGCTACAAATGGTTATAAGATCTAGATATAAAATATCGTATAAACAAATCAGAGGACCAGGGAAAGAGATGCTTTTCACAATTCTGCATAGTGAAAGAATTCTTAGCCAAATGAGAGTTAGAGAGGATAATAAGAGATAAAATAAACAATTTTGATTACACAAAATTGAAGTTTTTGTGCAAATGAAGCCAATGAAGTTAGAAGTAGAATGGAAACGGTTAACTAGGGAAAATTTTTGTAGCAAATTTCTCTAATAAAGGTGTAATATCCAAGATATTTAAGGAATTGATACAAACATATGAGAGCCATTCCCCAATAGATAAATGGTCAGAGGATATGAAATGGGAGTTCTTAAAAGAAAAAATAATACTAGCTATCAACAATCATATATTTTAAAAGGCTGCAAAATGCTGACAAAAGAAATGCTAATTTAACACATTAAAAGTACTTTCTCATACCTATGGGATTAAGCAAAGATAATAAAAATGAAGATGTCAGTTGTTGGAGGAGCTGTCAGAAGACAAGCACACTAATGTACTGTTAGTAGTACTGGAAATTTGTCCAACCATTTAGTACAATAATTTGAAACTATATCCAAAAAGTAATTAAACAGTTTATATCTTTTAACTCAGCAATACTTTATTTTCCACTTAATAGTATTTTATTTTTTCCTATTACATGTAAAGATAGTTTTCAACATTCACTTTTATAAGATTTTGAGTTCCAAATTTTTTTCTTCCCTCCGTCCCTTCCCTCCATCCTCCCCAAGATGGCAAGAAATTTGATATAGGCTATTCATATACATTCATATTAAATGTATTTCCATATTGGTCATTTTGTAAAAGAAGAATCAGAACAAAAGGGAAAAACCACAAGAAAGGGGGAAAAAAGAAAGAGAAAATAGTATACTTTGATCTGCATTGAGACTCCATAGTTCTCATCAATACTTCTACTAGGCATTATCCCAAAGCAATCAGATAAAGACGAAAAGAAAGCATATTTATGAAGATATGTATAGCAGGACTTTTTTTTAAAATTTTTTTTCCATATGCTTTTGAGTTGAAATTTTTTTTCTCCCTTTTTCTCCTCCCCCCACCCTCCCCAAGACGGCGCACAATCTGACATAGGCTTTACATTTACATACCCATTAAACATATTTTCACATTAGTGAAGTTGTAAGTAAAAATTAAAACCAATAGGAGGAACCATCAGAAAGATGAAACAAAATTCAACTTAAGGTAAAATTAAGTGAGAGCGATTCAACTTCCATAGTTCTTTCTTTGGATGTGGACAGCATTTTCCATCCCGAGGCCTCTGGAGATGTCTTAGATCCTAGTAATGCTGAGAAGGGTTCAGTTTAACATTCTTAGTCATTGTGTAACATGGCTGCTATTGTATACAAAGTCCTCTGGGTTCTGCTCACTTCACTCAGCATCAGACCATATAAGTCTTCCCAGGTTTTTCTGAAGTCAGCCTGTTCATCATTTCTTATAAAACAATAGTATTCCATTACATTCATATACCACAACTTGCTCAGCCATTCCCCAATTGATGGGCATCCTCTCAATTTCCAATTCTTTGCCACCACAAAAAGAGCTGTATAGCAGGACTTTTTGTTGTATCAAACAGGCATTCATCTACTGAGGAGTGACTGAACAAGTGATAGTATATGAATGTAATGAAATATGACTGTTCTATAAGAAATATTGAAAGTGATAAATATAGAAAAACCTGAAAGGATTTACATGAATGGGTACAGAGTGAAGTATGAGTAGTAAAATAATATCTATAACACTTACAATAATGTAAAGAAAAACAACTTCAAAAGACTTAAGAACTATGACCACTGGAGAGACTGTATAATCCATAGTATATCTAGTCATTAACCAAGAGATACACAGATGACAAATGGATACGGATAGATGGTCACCCAAAGAAGGAAGCTGCTTCAAAGAGCCTGACTGGCTCACTCAGACGAGGGTAGAATGAGTATTCTGCAAAAGGTGAAAAGATTTCCAGTACCAGACGGTAGAAGTTACCCCTTTGCCACAATGTTACCTCATATGTGCCTCATTACATTGTATTTTAAGTTTGATCCCACTCTTCCTATGTGTGTACTTCAGGGAGGATATACCCCAGGATTTGGGGGTGGGGGGCAAATATTTTGTACCAAATGTTCTCACAATAGGCAGTGTGATATAGTAAAGAGAGAGCTGGCCTCAAAGTCATAAAAACCTAGATTCACATTTCACCTCCCATACGTATCTGCTGACTTACCCTGGGCAACTCACTTAAGCCCTCAGTGCTCTAGGTCAGAGGTGTCAAACTCACAACCAAAACTCCTTAGGGCAGCCAGAACCAGATTTAAAATGTAGTTAGAAAGTTTTTTAACAAAATAAATAAAAATACCACACAATATAAATAATATTAATTTGCTATTCACCAAACAAAACATTCTCTTAGCTCTGGGCATTTTCTCTGGTTATTCTCCATGCCTGGAATGCTCTCCCCCCTCATCTCTATCTACTAGTTTCCAAGGTTTCCTTTTCCCTCAACTAAAATCCCATCTTCTACATGAAGTTTTTCCCAACCCCTCTCAATTTTAGTGCTTTCCCTCTCTTATTTACTTCTATTTATCCTGTAAACAGCTTGTTGTATGTATTTGTTTGTTTTTTGCCTTCCCCATTAGACTGTGAGTTCCTTAAGGGCCAGGACAATCTTTTGACTCTTTTTTTGTATCCCCAGAACTAGGCACAATGCCTGACACATAGTAGGTACTTAATAAATGTTTATTGACTGAATGAGATAGATAATGTTAATCTGTGGTTTTCTAAGTCAATATGTGGCCCAGAGGGATGAGTTTCTATTTGAGTTTGACACCACTGCTCTAGGCAACTCTCTAAGACTGTAAGTTTCAGAGAAGTTACCAACCTGCATTGTTAGAGGGAGTTTTCGCTAATGAAATCACAAATCTATTCCTCATCTTATTCTTAATATAGCATTTTAGTAAATTCTAAAAGGTAGTGATTGATGGTTAATAGGAAGCATACTGGTGGGTGCTCAGGAGCAGGAATATGGAAGTAAAGCCTTTGGGGTTATCTTTAGAACCTAAAGTAGCAGCATCCCCGTGGAAATCCAATCCCAGTAGTGTGAGTAATCTCAGAAGGGTACTATCTATTGATCTATAGAGCAATTGATCTATTGATGTAGCTTTTAGTTTATTATACTACATACATACACATAGATAGATGTACATGTGTATATATATGTGTATGTATGTGTGTGTGCGTATATATATCTATATATATCTATATATATCTATATATATCTATATATTGTATGTATATGTATACACATATTAGTCTATAGTTTTTTCTCTGCTTTATTTTTCCCAGTGTGAAATCCCAGAGTTGTGATTTGGAGCATTATTTTCATATGGCTGTTCATATCTTAGATTTTTTTCCTTTTGAAAATTATCTATTCATATCTTTTAAATATCTGTCTATTAGGGAATGGGTCTTAAATGTGTATATACACATATACACACAAAATGCGTATATCCATATATGCATTTCCCTTCTAGGGAAAGGCCTGCCTTTTACTCCTCCATTTCAGTCCTGTCTCTCCCATACACACACACACACACACACACACACACACACACACACACACACACATATACATACATATATGTGTATGTGTATACACACAGAGACAAAAGTATGTGTGCGTATAGGAAGTGGGCAATGGGGATTATCAGGGCAGAATATTGCACACCCAATCACAAATTATTTGTGTTGGTTTTCCTTAACTGGTTTTCTGGGTGGGAGGATGAGTTTGGGGAACAGTAAATACAGACATGATTGCAGTGTGAAAACAAAAGATATTAATAAAATTTTTAAAAGCTCATGAGAAAAATTCAGGAACAAAAAATATTCCACATGCGAAAGTAATTGTAATCTTGTGAAAAGGAGAAATATATACTAAAATATAACTTTTATTCCACAACTCTAGGACATATCGTGGCAGAGCTTTTTTTAAAAAAGGCCACTATAGAGAAGCAACTGAAGACCTTTCGGCTGCAATTCATTTAGATCCTAATAATTGGGTAGCATTCTATTATAGAGCCTGCATATTGCGAAAATGTAACCCTCATAAATCTCTTCAGGATTTCAGTGTATCAGGTACTATTTCTTCACTTTTACTTGCATAGTAAATATGAAGCTTAGCTGAACAAAATAGAATAATTTGTTGTTGTCTAGCTCTTTATTTTCATTTAGGGCAACACATAAAGTGGTAAGATTATACTTTTAATATTAACATCAGGTATTAGATCAGGTCAGTTCTGTTGTGTTTTTTTTTTAAATTCCTATCATTCTAAAAGTTTGAGGCACTAACTCTAGGCTATGTGGTATTATGAATAATTTTGTAATTTGCTGTCTTAACTAAATTAGTAAAATGGTAATTCACAAAATAATTTTCTGTATTGCACAGCTTGCTTACAACATAGTGTAAGATATTTGTAGTTGCTGTCTAAATATAGAGAGAATTTGGCTCAAGTGTAGCAGGAATGGTTTATCTTTCCAGGGGGATTGTGATTTCTACTTTTGTTGGGAGAAGGGGGATTCAAGTGGCTAGGTCCTTGCTTCTACCCTCACCTAGCTCCAAGAGGGGTATTGGGCTAGAATTATCTATCCTCCACACTTCGGTTTTTTGTTGTTGTTGTTGTTAGGCAATGGGGTTAAGTGACTTGCCCAGGGTCACACAGCCAGTGAGTATTATGTGTCTGAGGCTGGATTTGAACTCAGGTCCTCCTGACTCCAGGGCCAGTGCTCTATCCAAGCTGCCGCTATCCTCCACACTTCAAATGTTGGAGTGTAGGGGTACAGTGTTAGGTCAGGGTCAATGCCACTTACTCTGATCATTCTCAAAGGGATATTAACATATATAGCAGCTTAGTTCCCTTCAACCATATACTAATTATAGGAAAAAAACCATCTCATGAATAGCCCTTTCACATTTTTATCAAAGAAACTGTTAAAAAAGAAACAACAAGAAACAAACATTGGGGAAATTATATAGATTAAAATAGACCAAAGAATACATAGGACCTCTGCTCTAAGCAGAAGAGCGAACGATCTCACTGACTTGTAAGCACTGGATCAGGGGAAGTATTAGGGCTAGTTCCCTAACTATTTACTGTCTTGGAAGCTCCCATTAGCCATTCAAAAGTTACCATCTACAATGTTATTCCTTTCTCCCTCATGCAGATATACAGTGCCCTGATTCAATTTGCCCTGAGCCAATCAGAAGGCTCATCCCCTTATACCTGTGCAGCTCAGCACAATCAGTATTGTCCTTCATGACCCTGTCTAGCCTAAGTGGGTAGTCATATTACATTAGTGAATAGAAGACAATACCTTCTATCCCATGTCAACCAAAGGATTCTCACAAAATGGGTCTTGCTTAATAATACTTGGTAGGGTTGTTCAAATTTGCTTGAATGTAACCCTTGTCCTAAAGCCCAGTGATATGGGACTGTCTCCTTACTGGTGGAGATAAATGCCCTGCTCTGCCTAAGGGGCAGGGAAGAGTTGGCAAGAATGGAGAGCTTCAGTTCTCAGACAGTAAGTACCCTTTTGGGAGACTCATTATTCAACGCTCCTGGCTTGCAGCTTTAAAAGAGAAAATGGAAGAGGCCAATCCCACGTCTGCTGAAGAAAAAGACTCTGGGAAGGCATGAGAGGAGCCAGCACTCTCCATCATGTCCCTATATCCACCTTGCTACTCTAGAATCTTTGGGAAATTTTCCACTTGGGTGAGATCCAGGAACCTCTCTCTTGGTGGAGCTAAGTTAGGTCACTCCCAATGGGAGAGCCCCTTTATTCTACATTGTCTAGTGCATATTGTCCTGTGTATATTTTCTCTGATTTCTTTTTACTATGATTTTGATAAATGGTTTTTTTTTTCTATTTTCTATGTGTGTTTGTTGTAGAACTGGTATTAGGTGGGAAAGGGGTCAAGCCTTGGATAGAGAGCTTCCCCCTTTCTCCCAAAATGACAAAGTGATCAGAAGTTAGATGAAACCTGATCATATTCCCTAGACCAACAAGACTTAAGGGATCAGATAGACAAGTAAATAATTCAAAATTAAATTTGGGGGCAGCTAGGTGGCGCAGTGGATGCAGCACTGGCCCTTGAGTCAGGAGGACCTGAGTTCAAATCCAGCCTCAGACACATAATACTCACTGGCTGTGCAACTCTGGGCAAGTCACTTAACCCCAATTGCCTTCACCAAAAAAAAATATTAATAAATAAATTTGAAATTATTTTGGAACCAAACCATTTTTCAGTAAAGACTGAAAACTAGAAATTCAATTCAAATTTCACAATGAAAGACATCTTGATTTAAAAAAAATTATCTACCTCAGATTTCATCTATAGGATTATTTTAGAAATAACAATTAGAGTTAGAAGAGACTTAAAAGATCATCTAATCTAAAAGGATGTTGGGGCTTAGTGAGGTAAAGGGACTTACTCAAGATTGCACAGCTAGCAAGCCAAAGCCAGGATTTGAATCCAGGTGCTTCAACTCTAAATAGAACACCTTCTTTTTCCCCAAAAAAATTTTATTTGAAAAAAATAGGGAATCCGAGAATCTTAGAGTAGTTTTAAGGGTGTTAGTAGTTTTAAGCACCTACTATGCTCAAGGAACTGTACTTGACATTAATAATAATTTAACTCACCAAATTCAGTAATTATTATTTATCTTTGCTGTTGTTTAGTCGTTTTTCAATAGTGTCCAACTCTTCATGACCCTTGGTTTTCTTGGCAAAGATATTGGAGTGGTTTGCCATTTTTTCTCTACCTCGTTTTACAGATAAGAAAACTGAGGCAAACAGGGTTAAATAACTTACTAGTAAGTCTCTAAGGTCAAATTTGAACTCAGGATTTCCTGATTCCAGGCCCAGCACTCTATCCACTGTGCCAGCTAGCTACTTTAAGATACAAATTACTACGGGTGGTCTGGGGATAGAAAGATGAAATAAGATATAATCCTTGCTGTCCAGTAGCATAAACCTAATCAAGGGATGCCTAGGGATATGACATAAATAAATATGACATGATATAAAATTCATTTCACAAAGCAAAGGAAAAATTCAAAGTGCTTGATGGGTCTGAGGAATAATAGTAATAATAATAATAATCCACATTTATATGGTGCTTCAAGGTTTACAAAGTACTTTCCTTACTTTGCTGCGATGGACTTTGTCATTGCTGCCCACTTTTTCTGCCATTGAAGTCTATACTGATATACATTTTGTGGTCAGCTGTTGCTGGGGCACACCCCACTGTCCATTCCTCTGCCACTTGGGCTGCGCACTTTGCTGGAGCCTACTGATGCTTTCTGTGTGTAGTTGTTTGTATCTCTGTCATCAGACTGTGAGCTCCTTGAGAGCAGTTGCTATCTGGGGGAGAAGGGGTGCCTTTCTTAAAAGATGCTTGTTGACTTGACTAGGTAAAGCCTGAGCACAATACCCTATCACTTGAGGCCTACGCACTGCCGCAGGCACTGTGTCTGTCCCACCCACACCCATCCCATCACAGGCCCCGTGCTGGCACTACTGCAACCTGAACACAGTCCCCAGTATATGTGCTCTAGTTGCCACGTACAAGCAGTCACCATTTCTTCTAAGGAGGAAAAAGGTATTCAGGGCCTGGGCTAGGGTCCACTACAGCAGAACTGCTAACCCATTCCCAACTTGAAGTTCCAGCAAGGGAGTTCACAGCATTTCTGTTGGAAGTTATCTCTTCTTTTAAAATGAAACAAGCCCAGCCTCCTCTGTTCTCAGTAACTCAGCTGGAGTGCATTTGTCCACATCCACGGTTCTGGAAGGGTCTCTGTGGTCCTGAAAAGGATCAAATGCCAGTCCAATTGCTGTCCCTTGCGCTAAAGAGCCCCAGTAAAGTCCACAAAAGACCTCTTAAATACCATATAAAAAGGTTATAAGGGTTATTCAGGCTATGAGAGACATGGGCACGTTTGTAGGCAGTAGGAAATTATTTCCAATTCTCTAATTTCAGGATTTTCTTTTTTGACATACAATCTCATCATTCCCTTTCACATTGTTATTAATTGTTTCTATGATTTGCAATTGACATTATTCAAGATGCCATTACGTCTCCATTTAGATTTATGTCCTTTGTGTTCCATGTGGTGGTTATTATTTTTATTAAGTTACCATTTGTAAATCATATGCTTAGCATTTCTGCTTTTTCAATATTTATTTGTTTCCCAGTATATGGTCTATTTTTCTCTGACTTTTGATACACACACACACACACACACACACACATACATTAACACATAGTCTTTTAAGCTTCCCCTTCAGAAGACATGTCTCTAAAAATTATTGCATTACTGTCTATGTCCTTTTTGACATTCACTTAAATTTTCCTTTTTTAATTTGGGTGTTATGCCATTTCGTGTGTATACTAACTTTATTTGGTTCATTGTCTATGTTTTCTTTAAGCGTAAACTGTGTTGTGTTACAGGGGTCAATCTGTATCTCATATTGTGAAACCTGTTCCTATCACCTTCTTTGGCTATGTTTATCTCAATTCCTAAGACCATGCTATTCTCTCTCTTATTCTATGTCCCACCTGTCAAGATGAGTGCTGGTAGCCCTTACGAATTCATATATCCTCTTTCCTCGAATGAGATGCTGTGTATTCAAATCTTTCACTTCTTATATAGTAAACCCATTATATAATGTCCCTATCCCTCCTGCAGATGTATACCTCCTCTCCTATGAGAATGTTTTTTGTGTCTCCTTTTCCTTTATGCTTCTTAGGTGAGTTACCCACTTTCTTCTTCCTAGGCCCTAGTTCTTCCTTTCCATTGCTATTATTCTATTCTCTTGCATCACCCCATTATGTTGAGAGGATAAAAGAATTATTGTTCCTTTAGTGTTTATCTATGGATTGGGTAGAAGTACATTCTCCTCTTTCCTCTCTCCTTTACTTTCCTATCCCAATTTGTGAAACTTTCCACTCCTTTATTACTTCTCACAAAAGATACAGATTTGCAGGGGATTTAATTCATGGAGTATGATTTCAAGTGTTCTATGCACTTTGAATCCTCTTGATTCTTTCTGTTTCCCTTAAATTTTTAACCCCTTAA